AGTAACCTTGAGTCATTTTTTTTGGTTCGGTTTTTGGTTCGGTTTTAGGTTCGTTTTTTGGTTCGTTTTTTTGTTCGGTTCTTGGTTTGTTTATTGATTGATTAAAACTGTCTATTCTACTTTCCAAGTGTGTGAACATGTTTCCGTTTTTCTCTTGCTTCCCTCACCATTACCATAGGTTTGGGGGGAGAGAGAGAGAGAGAGAGAGAAGGGGAGAGAGAGTACTACAAAGGGTAAGAGAGATGAAGCGAGAGAGCGGGAGCAAGGGAGAGAGTGGGAGCAAGGGAGAGAGTGGGAGCAAGGGAGAGAGAGAGAGAGAGAGAGAGAAGGAGAGAGAGAGTACTACAAAGGGTAGGAGAGATGAAGCGAGAGAGCGGGAGCAAGAGAGAGAGCGGGAGCAAGGGAGAGAGAGAGAGAGAGAGAGAGAGAGAGAGAGAGAGAGCGAGAGCGAGAGAGAAAGAGAGAGAGAGAGAGAGAGGATTCGCACCAGTGGTTTTGTGGTCAATCATGCGAACCAAGCAGTCTAACTTGTGAGTCCAAACGCGCAGTTGTCGTGATTACCTGATTTGAGTCCAAGCGCGTAGTCGATTTGTGTCTCGCTCTCTTCTCTCTCTCTCTCTCTCTCACGACAAGGACGAATTGAGGATGGTAGGAGGACCAGGTGTATGATACACTCAGAAAAGAACTGCAGTGCAAGTAGCCTCGAGTCAATTTTTTGTTCGGGTTCTTGGGGTTTGTTTATTGGTTGATTAAAACTGTCTATTCTACTTTCCAAGTGTGCGAACATGTTTCCGTTTCTCTGTTACTTCCCTCAACATTACCATAGGTTTGAAGGGAGAAAGAGAGAGGAAAAAAAAAATAAAAAAAAATAGATTGCGAGGGATGCTTAGGGAAAGGGACGGATTAAGAGAGACCATTATATCAGACCAACCATTTAGCTCGTGACTTTGCTCAACCATTCAATCAAATACAAAATGGCAACTAGTATGAGAATCTATCTGTCAACCAAACAATGAACTCCTTGAGTCAAGCACTCAATGCCCTGTCCCTTCGGTGAACGTGGCGGTGAACTTATCGGCCTTGTCATTAGTATACCCATCAACGAGTTTACCAATCAGTTAATGCTAGAACTTGACCAATCAATCGAATAATAGAACTTGACCAATCAATCGACCAATCGGTCGTCCAATGCGTTAATGCTTCATTATAGAATTTGACCAATCAAGCGATTAATCAGGTGAGACCTATCAGCCAAACCATATCAATACACCCATCAGTCGAGACCTATCAACCCAACAATCAATACACCCATCACTTCATTCGTGACTCGACTATTCAGTTTACCTTTTATTCAGCTAATCAGTCAGCGAATGAATTCAATTCACCCATCAGTCGACCTATCAGCCCAACCATCAGTACACCCATCACTTTATTTGCCCCCGGGTCATTCCGTTTACTTGTTAGTCAGCCAATGAGTTAGCAAATGAGTTAAAATCACTTAGGTAATTAGTTAAGCATGGTTTCGGCTAAATGTCTTCAGTCGACCAATCGGTCGTCCAATCAAATCAGTCGTCCAATGAGTTAATGCTTTATTATAGAATTTGACCAATCAAGCAATTAATCAGGCGAGACCTATCAGCCCAACCATATCAACACACCCATCAGTCGAGACCTATCAGCCCAACCATCAATACACCCATCACTTCATTCATCACTTGACCATTCAGTTTACCTTTTATTCAGCCAATCAGTCAGCGAATGAATTCAATTCACTCATCAGTCGACCTATCAGCCCAACCATCAGTACACCCATCACAAATACGGATAAAACGGATAGTTACCTGCCATCGCATAAAAAAAAAAACACAATTGAAGTCGGTACTCAATGCTAAGTCTGACTAGTACTTTTTTATATACTTTTTGTCCAGGTATTGTTACCATGGAGGGGAGGGAGGCACGCCTACTAGTAGGAGTGACAAAGAGGAAGAAGAAAGTGAGCCGAAAATTCGGACTCGGTCGTCATTTTCTTACGAAGTTGAGAGGATGCAACAAGAAGAGGAAAGCGGAGGAAGCAATAGGAAGATGGCACTGTTGTATCGACGTTCGACATGAAAATGAGAAAGAGAAAAGAACAGAAAAAAGGAGAACGCCGAACGAAAATAAAAAAAACGAATCAATAAAAATGCACCCACGAGGCAAAGCTATAGAGGAAGGAGAGGCGAAACACGAATTGAGGGGGATTCAAGTCGAAGCGGGATATGCTTACGATGAACGTCGCGAAGAAGAAAAAGATGAAAAGGAACGTTCGTTTTCGTTCTTCCGTCAGAAGATTCGTGGAAAAGACCATTGTGATGAGGAGGAAAAAAATTGTAGTGAAGGAGAAGTCTATCAAGAGGGAAAGGCGGAAGGAGGGAAGGAAGGACAAGCTAGCGGAGAGGAGGGAATTGACGAAGAGGATGGAGCGAGAGATGTGAAAAACAAAAAACGTGATGATATTTTACAAGAGGCAGAAACAAAAGAGGAAGAAGAGGATGAAGATGAAGATGAAGACGACGAGGAAGAGGCAGAAGCAGACTATGTCGAGGAAGAGAAAAAAAAAGAAGGTGAAGTGGAAAATGTAGAAGAGGAAGTCGGCGGAGAGAAAAATGAGGGGGGAAATGGTAATGATAAAAAAGAGAAAGATGAGGAGGAGGAAGAAGAGGAAGAAGAGAACGAGGATGAAGAGGAGGAGGATGAAAAAGAGGAAGAAGAGAACGAGGATGAAGAGGAAGATGATGAAAAAGAGGAAGAAGAGAACGAGGATGAAGAGGAAGATGATGAAAAAGAGGACGAAGAGGAGGAGGATGAAGAGGCAGAAGTCAAAGAGGACGAGGAAGATGAAGATGAAGCTGAAGACGGCGAGGAAGAGGCAGAAGCATACTATGTAGAGGAAGAGAAAAAAAAGAAGAAGGTGAAGTGGAAAATGTTGAAGAGGAAGTCGGCGGAGAGAAAAATGAGGGGGGAAATGGTAATGATAAAAAAAAGAAAGATGAGGAGGAGGAAGAAGAGGAAGAAGAGAACGAGGATGAAGAGGAGGAAGATGAAAAAGAGGAAGAAGAGGAGGATGAAAACGCAGAAACAAAAGAGGACGAGGAAGATGAAGATGAAGTTGAAGACGACGAGGAAGAGGCAGAAGCAGACTATGTAGAGGAAGAGGGGAAAAAAAAAGGTGCAGTGAAAAATGTAGAAGAGGAATTTGGCGGAGAGAAAAATGAGGGGGGAAATAGTAACAATAAAAAAGAGAAAGATGAGGAGCAGGAAGAAGAGGAAGAAGAGAACGAGGATGAAGAGGAAACTGATAAAAAAAAAAGGAAGAAGATGATGGAGAACGAGAGGAAGATGAGGAAGAGGACAAAAATCACAATGACGAAGGAGAGGAAGAGGGAAGAGAAGAATACGATGGACATAAAGAAGAGAGAGAAAGTGAAGAAGGTAAGGATAAAGAGAAAGATGAGGAAAAGGAAGGTGATGGGAACGTGAAAAAGAGTGAAGAGAAAAAAGAGGAGGAAGAGGACGAGGATGAAGAGGATGAAAGTGAAGAACAGGGATTCGACATAGAATATTATTTTCGCATGAAATTTTTTATAGAAACACGAACAGAGCCGAAAGGTTCGGGATCAATGATAGAATCAAGCCTAGACGGTCGTAACAAGTGCTCTCTCGACGGTGCGAGACGGTTCTCTGAGGTAGTCGGAAAAGGAGAGGATGAGAATGAAGAGAAAGATGAGGAATATAAAAACGAAGAAGCGTCTCAGAAGTCTATGTATTCCGCACCACACGAAGGGGCAAATGTTTCAGCAAGCAGACAACCGATGCAAGAAAGAAGCGGGAAAAGAAAACAAGGGGAAGAAGTATGAGGAATATAAACATGACAGATCAAAACGGATATAGCGATGATGATAGATTTATCCCTGGTCAGGAGGATGCAAACGAAGAAAATATAATTTCTTTGTCGCCAGCATCGAAAGAGGAAGACGGAAGGAGAAAAAGAACGGATGAAATGGAAGTACAACAAGAGGGCGATAGAAGTGGAGACCCTTGTCGCATGGAGGGAATCGAGAATGTTGAGGATGCAGGGGTAGTCGGGGGTGCGATAAGGCAAGAGAGAGGTAAGCGGTCTGCCAGAAAAGGAAATAAAAATGAGCAGGACGCTTCTGTATGATCAAGCGAAAAAGAAGAGGGAGAGAAAGGTATACAAAATGCAGATGTGGAAGATATTACGAACATAAGTCCCGAATGGGTTGATTTGAGATCTCATTTTTACGACGCAGCCAAAATCGATCAAAACAATCACGATATTGTACGTAAACATTTACAATTGGATTCCGATAAATACAAATTTGACAACCGGCAGTGTGGGTTGAAAAATTTGGAAGGGATTCGAAACATGTCACCAAGAGATGTATTTTTTAGATTATGGCTGCAAGAAGTTTTCGACATGATTGTGAAGGAGACGAACGAGTATGTAGAAAAACGTTTAGCGACGGTCAGGAGAGCTGCGCAGAATCCGCGACCATAGAGGCCGACGGATCGTTTGGAGATGATAGCATTTTTTGGGCTTGTCATTGTGATGGGTTTCAATCGCTTGCCCAACATGAAAGATTACTGGAAAACAGGAGCGCAGGGTGCAGTTTCTTTCACAGATTTCGGTCGGGTAATGAGCCAGACACGCTTCGAGGACATTAAACGAATGCTCCATCTGTGCGATTCGACGGAGAGACCAGACGATAAAGGTATGAGGGCGTATCGATTGTGGCAACTTGATATGCCGATCGATAAATTGAGGACTGCAGCACAACAGTATTTCTATCCTGGGAAGGTATTATGTTTCGACGAGAGGACGATCCCGACGAAAAATCGGTTCTGCCCAGTCAAAGTAGTAAACAAAAGAAAACCTCATCCTAAAGGTATCCAAGAGCGGAGTTTAAATGATTGTGAGACGATATACCAGTTCGATTTTGATATTTACGATCGTGTACACAAGCGACCGGGAGTAGGTAGAGAAGAAGGTGCGAGATTAGAAAGAAAGCACTTAGGCGTATTCCAGAGAGTTGTGTACAATAGAGTGGGTGCCTTGGGGAGGGGGCACATCATTGTGATGGACCGGGTTTTTGCGGAGACCCGTTTGTTTCAACTGTTGAAGACGAAGAAGGGAATTTTGGCGACCGGTCCAGTAAAGTTGCCATACCAAAGACCGACGGAAAAACCGGAAGGCAGGCGAAAAAATCCTCCTTTGCGTTTTCCGCCAAGTTTGCAACTCGAGGAAAATGCTCCTCCAGGGTCGATGAAATGGACGCACGCGCATCCGTTGCACACTGGGATGGTTGCATGTGTGTGGAAGACGAGGTTGAATACCATACCATTTCTTTCAACGTCGCACGGGTGTCATCCTGTCGAGGAGGAGAAATGGGTGGAAGAAGAGAAGGTGGTTACCGTGAAGCCTGAATGCATTATGTTTTACTCGAAGCACATGCATGCTACGGATGCGTTCAACAAAATGTGCAACGGTAGAATAGGTTGCGAGGAGATTATGACATCAAGACGGTGGTGGCTGCGATATCTATGGTGGAGGTTGGATACAGTTGTAACAAACGCTTACATCCTCAAGAAGGTAGGCGGGGGAAGTGTTCAGTCGCATGAAAATTTTTGTTTGGAATTGCAAGAGGAATTGGTGGCAAGCTTTTTGACAAGTACATTGATTCCGAGGCAGTTGTGTTATGGGGATGCGAGGATCGTCGTTCCCGGTGAGGCTCAATATCCAGGAAGGTTCACGGATGCACACTATCCAGGGTTGACCATATCGGACGTGAACGGCAGACATCCGGCGCTGAATTGTGTTGTTTGCACTTCGCTGTGTAAAAGAAAATACCCTGGGTTGGTGATGCACAGGATAACACACACGTGTGCGACGTGCGCAGTACCTTTGTGTATTGTACCTTGTTTTAGATTATTTCATCAATACGCTATTGATGGATATGATTATAACTATCGGGCCTCTAAGCAGCCAGAAGATTCCGGAAAACGAAGGAGGCAATCGAGCAAAATAGATTACAATACGCAGCTTATTGCACCCGTCGTGCGAGGGGAGAGAATTCCAATGAATTTGAAATATAATGTGGCAAAAGGGGGTGAAAGATGGGAAAGAGTAGTCCAGGAGGAGGTGTTCGAACATTCGGAGTTAGAGCATTCGGAGTTAGAGCATTCGGAGTGAAGTAGAGGGAAAATGAAAACCAGATGATGTTGAAATCGTGCAAGATTGTTGTTAGAACTTTGGGGCGTAGGTAGACAAAAATGTTTTGTATAATATGTACATTATTGTTGGCACATGAGGCGTAGGTAGACAAAAATGTTTTGGGGCGTAGGTAGAGCTTTCTGAGATAGAACTTTGGGGCGTAGGTAAACAAAAATGTTTTGTACAATATGTACATTATTGTTAGGAGAAGAATAGTGAGTTTTGGTATGTTGGTAAATTCATGTATAGTTCAATAGACTGTTTGGCGGGAAAAGGAAAAGTGAAGTAAGATATGTTGTAATGCTTATAGATAGAATTTACGGGTGAGAGTAGAGAGAAAATGAGAATCTCCCGATCTTTAACATTTATAGTAAAACAGAGATGTAGTTTTTGGGGGAGAATAAAGAGAAAAAAACAATTTGTCGGTCTTTAATCTTTATACTGAAAAAATGCATATGTGATTCTTGTATCTGTCCATATCGATACTTTGTACAATGTGTTATTGTGTGGATAAAGAAACTGAATTTTAGAATTTTGGTAAATTTTTATATTATTCATTATATTGTTTGACAGGCTTACGAGTGTTCTGTAGTGGGGAGAGAATGCAGAAAGGGGATGAAGTGAAGAAGTTGGAGGAAGAACTCGTTGACATTCATCATCAAATGATGGAGACAACAAATAAGCTTGCACAACTGAGATGTAAGATATTTGATCGATCGAGAAAGAAGTTCACAAATAACGGCGGCGAGCTGCATGCGACGGTTTGCACCGACGACGTTGACACATCTCCTACAAGAAAGGAGAAGGAAGAGAAAGTACAATTCAAAATCTCTGTAATGGCAGAAGAGATCATTGAGCTTCGTGATGAAGTGTTCGTTTTGAAAAAAAGCGGGGCGAATTGGTTGTTGAGAATGACATGCTACGTTCCAGATTACGATGTTTTTCTTCAAACATGGCACGACAAATATGTGATAATTATAAAGCAAAAACTGTTTCAAAAAAACCTTCTCAAACACAGTCTCTCAATCCATGATTTTATCCTCCAGGAGGAGCAAGTTGTAACGAAAAGCAAATGCAAATCTCATTTAGCGCAATGCGAATTGCCGAAGGAGAAAGTTAATGAGGGGTGACAGTTGATGTCTTAAAGTTTATTTCTCTCTTTGTTTTTCTCATACACGACAATATGTTCATCTCTCTCTGACTCGTTTTTTTTTTTTTTAGTTTCTCCG